GCCTAGAGCCCATGAAGCTCTAAAGGAAAGTTCAAGTCGGAAACATAGCAGGGGTTCTGAAGCTTAGGAGAGGAGACAGTTTCGCTGTCGTTAGATTGTGTGGCAATGTGAGCCAACCCCAGCAACACGAAGACGAGATACAGTTTTTGCAAAGATAAATTGAGTTGTTGACTCAACTATTGAGTCAACGTGTTGTCAACTTGTTGGTTGATGACAATGTTTCGATGGATGATGATGTGTCAAACACCGAGACTATTAGGAAAAAAGCCTTCTATTTTTCGCATCACCATAGATCACTTAATTAGTGGAGTAACCATAAATGGCCGACAAAATCAAATTCCAGTTTCTTGATTTTCAAGAGGAGATGGCCAGTTCGTCTTCACAACAATATTGACATGTAATAAAGAACAACGGAAGTGAAAGGAGAATTGAAAGGCAAACTTTTATTTGCTGTAAAAAAAACTCTTCCACTAGTTATTAAACCCTGGCAATTACAAGGCTTTATCTAGGAGTTTCTTTCTCCCCAATCGTAGACTTATATTAGCTAAATACCAAAAAAGGAAAAGAAAAAAAGACATTTAATGAAAATAAAAAAATTACACAAAATAAGGAAAATTTTAAAATATGAAAAGTTTTTAAAAAAACTCACATTCCATTGCAAAAAATTAGGTATTTTGACTACATTAGTAAGCTCCTAGATTAAATTTACATGAAGGGTTAGCATTGAATCTTTGCTAGGGCATCCCTTATGGCAATCATAAAAGGGTTGTTCCAAGTTGTATTCAACAATTTTTAGGTATTATCAATATATTCAGTTTGTACGACAACCTGTGTTACCTGGACTCTCCATAATTGGCGGAAGTGTCCGTGTCGACACTCTATTTTTGAATTGGACACTCTGCGAAGCTCCTCGGTTCTTTGGTTTGAAGTCCTGGTTATCTCTGGTTCGAAGTTTACAAAGGTTGAAGACGGATCTGTTGAAGACAGGAAAATTTGTGCCTTAATTTTTTATTCATATAATATATGTATATACATTTTTTAATACTCCAGTGATCACTGTTTTTTAGGCTAGGATCATCATTGTAATATTATATTATTATTAGTATATTACAACTGTGGGTATCAGTCATTAAAATATTGTATAGTACTATATTACAACAATAATTATAGTATAATATTATATTACTACTTCCAAGAAAGTGGTTTGGGGGGCCCATTCTCTTTTATCACCCATCAACAATTAAGCCTAACAAGTCGACTAACATGCCAGTGGCTTTACAACTGGAGGAGGCTTGCATGTACCATCATTATAATATTATATTATTATATGTATTACAGCTGTGGGTTACGACTGTAACCCACATCCATTTCACACAAACAAATTCATTGGGCTAGGCTATTTGGGTGTTTGAATTATTGTTCGGCCTCTATTATTTTGGACTGACTTTCGGGTCTTCCCAGCTCCTTTGTACAACATCTATGACGTGTCCAAGTACCCGTGTCTGAATTTTGGACGCTTATATTCCGTATCCCCGTGTCCTATAAATTGATAGATGGATCCGTCCTCTAGACACGTACCCGTGTCTGACACCCGCACCCGAGTCTGTGTAACATAGACGACAACACTATTTTCTATCTTGATCTAGTTCTTTGTTTCCCTTCTTACATATTTTATTTCCTTCTTCAAATGCTAATTGCCATTACTAACAAGCCAAAAATGTCAAGAGGGGACAAAATTGGTCAAGAAGAACTTCTCTATATTTGGCTTGAGATCACTTAATGATATCAGATCATCCTTATTTACAATACTAAACAGTGAAAATTTATTGTAAGAAGAGAAGAAAGTGATAGGGAGGGAAAAGCCTATTTGAGAGGTTGTTAGGTGATACCTGCCTTGCATTTAGAGAAAAATGCATGATGTTTCTAATAAAGGACTTCATAAGATCTTTTTTGGTAAAGCCAATACAATACCGTGTGTAGGATTTGTTCCATTTCAGTGTCACTATCCTTATCTTCTTCAATCTGTGAGCTAGGGTTTTCAAGTGGTTCCATGAATGAGCACTCATCTCCTTGGCTTTCATTTGGTTTCTCTTCTTTCAGGGCTTGCATCCCCAACTGAAACAAGAGCTTTCCTTCCAAATCTACCTTTGTTATTGAAGTTCTTAGTCGTCTTCTGGGGTTGATCTTTGGAACTAGTACAATTTGCCACATAGTGGCCTCACTTGCCACAACCATAATTGGTTTGTTGTGACTAAGACTTCCTTTTGAACCTGAATATATTGAACTTTTTGGCAAGGTAAGCAACTTCATCTTCTTCAAGATCATCTTCTTTAGACTTACATTCAGCATCCTTAACCACTTCTTTGGCCTTAAGAGCTGCTTTTCTTCTGTGTTGTGTAGGTGCACCAATTCTCATCTCATATGCTGTGAGTGAAGCTTGAAGATCATCAATTTTCATTTGAAAGAGGTCTTTGTCTTCAAGAATGGTGACCTTAGCATTGAACCTTGAAGTTAAGGTCCTTAAGATCTTCTTGCACACTTGAGAGTTTTTTACCTCTTCACCAAGAGCCTTCATGTTGTTCACAATTTCATTGATCCTGAATAAGTACTCTGAAACAACTTCCCTTTCTTCCATTTTGCAGCCTTCATATTGAACCTTGAGAAGTTGTATCTTGTTCTCCTTGATAACATTGTTCCCTTCATGAGCAGCCATAGAGAATCACATATTTCTTTAGCTATCTTGTAATTCTTGATCCTTGTGAACTCTTGTTGCTTGAGAGCACAGAAGGGATTATGCATTGTTCTCCCATCATTTGCTAGAGCAGCTTTATCATCTGCTGAGGGGTTGTTTGGATTGAGAACAACTAAACCATAGATGGTTGCATGCCATACATCACAGGATTGAGACATGAGAAAGGCGTCCATCCTTGTTTTGCATGAATCATAATTGGACTCATCTAAACCAGGTGCTTTGTTTGTAACTTGACCTTATTCCATTACACAAGATCTTCTACAGGTTGGTTTAAACCTCAAAAAGGCAGACCAAAGCTCTGATACCAATTGATGAACCAATTGTTTGAATTGGTTCTTGTATAAACTTTTCTTCTTTGTGTGATCAATACAATGTGTTAAAGGTGATGACAGATTCAACAAGCTTACACACACTTATAAGTACTCAGTACATTTACAAAGAAAATCCTCTCCACAGGGAAAAACCTTGGTTCTTGGCTTCAGCCAATAACATCTACACTAGTTGTATGCCAGTAATTACATACTCTCTGCACACACTCTTGTATAAGATGTAACAATAGCTTTCACAACCTCTACACACACACTAACACTACTAAGTGCACTCTGCACTCCCCCTATCCTAAGTAACCCTGGTTGGACCCTGTAAGCTTTCATAGCTCACCAAATACATATAAAAAGATGTATTACTCAAGTTATTACACAAGATAAGAATGAATAATCAGCTCAAAGTATCAATACAAAGACCATGTCTTCATTCTGTTGAAATTAAGGTTTGAGGGGTAAAATATGAATTTTGTGTCTCACAATTTAATAGATGAAATCCATAGCCTTGCATCTTCATTACAGACATGCTCAGATGATAATCAAGATGAACGCAGGATGAATACACAAGTACAACTCATATATAGGCTCAGTTTTGCAGAACCTTTAAGAACTAGGGTTTCACAAGGTCAAATCCTGTATTGACCTTATTTCTATGCAAACCTCAACTTCAACAGCCTTGATTTAACTATTGAAACTTGCTCAGATGATAATAATGCAACTCATAGCAAGATATAGTGATATTAAGTTCAGATCAACAAGCTAAACCAGTGAAAAAAGGCTAAACTTGCTCAGACCTGTGTATTAGCCTTTTTTACTGGTTTAGCTTGTTGTTCTGAACTTAATATCACTATATCTTGCTATGAGTTGCATTATTATCATCTGAACAAGTTTCCATAGTTGAATCAAGGCTGTTAAACATAGTAGGAAAAATCATTCTTCCTTAAAAAGCTGTTCCTACTCTGGTTGTATTAGTATTGGTAAGATCTTTTTACTTAACATCACTAAATAGTGAATAGCATAAAGGTTGGAGAAGAAAGAAAAGAAGCGAACAATCAGAAGAAATCCTAGATAATTCTGCACTTTTGCATTGTGAAATGTCTCCGGTTTTCCTTTCCTCTTGTAACGCTTTCTGAACCTTTCTGTCTTATCTTTTGCATCACTTCCTCAAATAAACTGTGGTCTTTATAAATTTGGTCACTAAATGATCCATGTTGGTATATCCTTCTTTGGATTTCATTTGCATGTATGTTCAAATTTAAAGATCACTCTACGCATTCTTTTTGATGTTCAAAGTTTCTGTAACAGATTTGTGAAGTTAAAGAAATTGTCTCAACTGTGTTATGTTGCTTGATGAAAAAGAACGTCTAAAATGTAAATATAATAATTATTTTTCTTTTATCAAATCCTAGGTTCTCTTTAAGATAGATTTTCTCCTTACTGCAACGTATCAAGTCTCTCCGTCTTTCTCTCACACAATATAGGCCCTTTCTCTGATGTTTTTACTCTGATGGCTTCACAGATGTAGCATCTTGAGCCTTTTGTGCAATCTTGTCAGGACTGCTATCCTTTTGGAGTTCTCGTCATCAAATCTAGTTCTTTTAAATCAGCTTTAATGCACAAAAAAATCATATAAGATAAATATTCTGTAAACACCTCTGTATGGAGAAGGAAAAAGTTACAACAAGGGCTACTGAGCTTGCTGCTACTTCATGATTGACTTGCTCATTTGAGAAATACGATGTATCAGTATTAGTGTTTTTCTGTTCCAGTAATTGGAGATATTTATTCTATTGAAATTTTACTTTTGGTATAATGAAGCAGAATATGTGGCTTTGAAATTTTTTCCACAGACCCATATATATTCCATCTTCCACCTAGTTTACTGAATTCACTGACTATTTTGTGTTCTTCATTGGTCTATATAGGTCTCAGAGTGTTGAGGAAGTTCAGTAAACTAAGTTCGAAAATATGCATCCGTGTCTGACATCAAAAGAGGATGCCTTTTGCTAGAGAAGAAGGTTCTTTTTACTGAAATTGTATAAGCCGCTGTGTTACATTACACTATGTGATTTGAAGTTTGGTGTATTTTAATTGATCTCATAGAAGCCTGTTGCCTATCCTCTGTATTCTTACTGTTTCTATTTTGTCGAGCACCTTTTGAAGATGGTATTAGGATGTAGTGTGTTTTTGTTCACACATTAATTTGCATATATTTTTTTAGGATGAATATATATATATATATATATATATATATATATTTGTGTAGAATGCAGGAATTTTGATTTTTATTCTTCTATAATGTGGAGAATGTATACAATATCATGGGGTACTCACCATGCCGAAACTACTTTCTGAGCCATGGAATGCAAAAACATCTTACTGTTTCCATTTTGTCAAGGACTTGTTGAAGAGATTATGAAGATGTAATGTGTTTATGTTCTCACGTTAATTTGCAGAAATGATTGTAGGAGGAATATTTTATTTATAGTTTTAGAGGGATAAAAAAAACATACAATGCAGGAACAATTTTAATTTTAATTTTATATAACAATTTTAATTTTAATTTTATTTTTTAAACTGTTTTTTTCTTGCCTCTATTTATAATGTTGATCCAAGAGGTGAAACATCTTAACAGACATCATCAAATGAGTTAACGAAGCCCTTCTATGAAGTAAATATTTTTAGATTTAGCTGCGGCAGTTGGATGTGTTTAGATGGGGTCATAATTGGGTCAATGACTCATTATCACTTGTCAAGAATGGATGGATGATAAAGGGTTAAGTTAACCCACGAACTCTATTTTTTATTTTTAGATAAAAACATTGACATTAAAATATAATATTACTCTGATTTACCAAAACACTGTTAGTATATTACTATAAAATGCAAACCTTATTTGAATGTTATAAACAAATATATGTACGTTCACACATTGTTGATATGACCACCTTAGCTTCATTTGTATGGACTGTACTTTCTCTCTCTAAATTCCATTTCTATCTATTTTGGGTTTTTAGTTAATCTGTATTTTAAAAGTTTTTTACAAAATGTTTTCAGCTTTTTCATGTTTGGACATTGGGATTATTGAAAATTTGGATCATGCGGTTGAGTCTAATGAATTGATTTATTCGGTTTCGGTAAGGACGGATTTAGGGTTTTTGTTTTCTTTCAAATTTTACAATACACGGCGGAAAGAGAGAATTTTCCATCGTGATGGCTGAGATTGAGGATTAACCGTCAACTCGAAGCTAGCAAGACCACTCTGTGTTTTTGAATCGGAAAGTATTCACAATACTATAATAACCACCAAATTAAAATGGTGGCATACTGTGGATGTGGAAACTCGAAGCTAACAAGACCGGACAAAAATCGTCTCCCGTTGAACAGGAAACCTGTTCCAGCCAGTTCAATTGTGTGGCCCAAAATGGGCCACGTTAATTTAAAAAAACAGTGAGTAACAAAAGTTTAACTGCGTGTATATATAGTGTATATTTATATTTAATGCATTTTCTGAAATACTTCCTAATTATTTGAATATATTACCAAAATATTCTTATTTTATGTTTTAAAAAGTCTAAAATGCCCTTGCCATTTTTCCTCCCAATTTTTTTGTTCTAGGTCGTGGAAGTGGAAGGAAAGGGAATTGAATCGAACTGCATGTTAGTCATTGTTCGTTTGTTTGGGTGTTTATAGTAGAAATTTTAGGTTGATTGCGGCAGAGGAATTCGCTTGTTGTAGTTGATTTGAAGGAAGTTGGTCTTCATTTGGGTTCATATGTTCGGATCGGTGTCCTTTTTGTTCTTGGCTAGTATGATTTCGCTTATTGCAGTTTATTTGCAGTTAATTTTGTGTTCGTTTTTAGTATTTGTAGTTCAAATTTTGTTGAGAATTGTTCTAGAGGTTGTTGGTGCATATTAGAGGTCTGGTTGGAGAAATTTTTAATTTTTTTTTTCTTATCTGCCATATAGTTCAAATTTTGTTGAGAATTGCTCCAGAGGTTGTTGGAGCATATTAGAGGTCTGGTTGGAGAATTTGTTTAAATTTTTTTCTTATCTGCCATGCTCTCAATTGTTGTAGTTTATTTCTAGTTAATTTGGTCTTACTTTTGGGTATGCATATGAAATATTGTTGGTTTATTGGTACAGAGGTGGTTCTTGGTACATACTCAACGCTTGCTTGGTTGCCTTGACTCCATTTGTCGGTGTAAATCACTGAATTTTGTTGTGATGGTGTGGTGTGTCTTAGGTTTAGAAATGGGTAGGCTGAAGATGATAGTTGTGATGGTATGGTATGTCTTAGGTTTAGAAATGGGTAGGTTTAAAAAATTGCTTTACCTGTCCGAAATAAGAACAATATCGTTGGTCTTTCTCCTTCACCTTCTCTCTAATCTATGATGCCAAGAAAAAAAAAAAAAAAAACCTGTCCAAAGGAAGAAAAACATCCTTAATCCTTCTTCTTCTGCTTGTCCTACCCCTACCCCTGAATCATCTACTCATACACCAGCTTATAATAGTTCTGAGGTTGGTCAGAGTTCTAAAATTTCAAATGTAGAAGAATTTGATAGTTACTTATCTGATGAGAATTATCATCCCAAGGCAACTTTAGAGGAATTTGATAGTGAGTCAGGTGATGAGGATTATGATTCTGATCCAACTGATGAGGATTATGATGTTGAGGCAGCTAAAAGGATTATGATCCCCAGCCAAGCAATACCACATCACTGAATATCAATGCTAAGGTTCCTCGTCGTGCAGAAGGAGTCTATCTTATGTTTAAGTAAGTATACATTCATATTAAAATTCATATTCACAATAGCATTTGTATGAATTTTGCTTCCTTGTTTACCAAATTTATAGTTGTAAGATGTTATTTTATGAAGGGTTTTGGTATATGATATGCATTTCATCGTTATTTTTCCTATTCTTATATTTACATTGAGATGAAATTGATTGTTTAGGATTTGAAATTATTTATAATGGTACAACATAATTCGTGCATTCATTTGAAATGAATAATTGCTTTATTATGATTAATTTTAAAATAATGCAAGTTTAGGGAATTTTTTTTTTCGTAGTTGATACTCACACACACATGCCTCCATTGAGGATCGAACCCATAATTTCCTTTTGGGAAGGAGGAGCTTGGTACTGTTGAGCACTGGCCTATTGGTAAAGTTTAAGGAATTATTGGGATGCTCTATTTATCTCACGGTTGAAAAGTGTATAAGTAAGTTGTGAAGCATATGCATTGAAATCCTGATGTTAAGTGGGTGATATTGTTGGGATTTATATGCCCTGGCATAGCGAATTCCTATTTGGATTAAAGTAACATATGTTCCTGACGTATCTGAAATATTTATACTTTATACAATTGGTGAATTTAATGTATTATGTTTCGATTCATTATAGAATTAATAGTGTCCACTTGATTACAAGAGATATTTATATATATATGTGATGGTGATCAATAGATGAATATAAATAGTAATCATAAATTGTTTATAGTCGGTAATTATGGATGGACTCGTAATTAATTAAGACTTGAACTGGATCCGCATTAGGTTGAGATATATTACGAGAGCCGTCGTATGCAATTGCTCTCTATCACTGCCATAACATTTGACTCTTAAGTATGAGAGAAGTATAGACTCTTTTATTAATTAATAATTACTTTGATTTGTTCGGCGGATATTTCGGAATCCCTAGACTGACACGTTGGGTAGTTATGTAATTAAAAGTTAGATGGTTATATTCTTAATATTTGCATCAATGCTACTTGTATTTATTTTGTATTGATTATGGTTGATCACAAATTAAATTCGAAAGCTTTCGTGTGTTTTTAGACAAAATGATTTATTATATATTTATTTATTTAAATTATTATTTTTGTCAAACAAATGTTTTATTGTGATCGAACCATAAATAATCAAAGGTACCAAAATAAATATATTAATTAAGTAGTCGGATTGATGGCTTTATTTGTCCGATAACTAATTATGCATAGAGGGGTCAAAGTACAACATTGACTTATAGGTTATTTATTATTTAATTGGAGTTCAATTAATTTCTTTTAGTAGAGTAGAAATTAATTAATGAATTAATTTAATCGGTTCCATAGACCGGGCCAATTATTAATTCATTGTAGCTAAGAAAATAATAAGCCCAATAGGATTCTCACTCATAGCCCAACTTGATATTAGAATCCTATTAGATTTGAGATATGCGAATTAGAGATGGAGAATGATTTATTGTTTCCTTTTCTTATTTTTATATTGCCTATATATACATGGGTTCATGTATATTTTAGGGCAGACTTTTGGAAGAAAAGAAAAAAGGAATATATTTTTTCTCTCTCTAGATTTTAGGGTTTGCTGTCTCATCTAATGGAGGCTCCCACAAGTCTAGTTTTCCAAAGTTATTCATGGAGGCTTATGAGTGATTCCTAAAGGCAAGACCATTACCAAGAAGATGGAGATCCAAGGAGAAGGCATCTAGCAAAGGGATCTACAATAAGTGAGAACATTCACTTTAGAGGAGAGATCTAAGGTTTACTCAAACCTTGATGTAAGTATTCAATCTATTAATTGAATGATACATCATATTTTATTTTTGCATAAAACTTGTTTCTGTGTTATGAATCAAGATCTATGAATGAAAATCCTTCAGAAAGTTCTTAAAATTAGCTCGTTTCTCAACATATATTGCATATGATAATGGATGTATGGAATGCCATGATGAAGGAGCAGAAGCCTCCCTTTTTTGAAGAAAAAAGATTACGTGATATGGAGTTCAGAAATTGTAGTTTGAAGTAGTGAATAAAACCAAGAAGAAGGTAATTTGTTAAATTGATTAAATATGTTATTGTTTTGATGACATAATATGCAGTAGAAAATTTAAAATGTATCATTCGTTACTAGTACTTATATAAAATTGTTAATGTGACATTATATTTATGATTTTTAAGGTTCAATACAACATTAAACCTGGGTGAAACAAATGTTCTTTTTCCAAATTCATTAAGACAGTATCCAAACTTTGAGTGGAAAAAAGGAAGGATGTTAAAGATATAGGTTTCGGCTATTTGTTGAACCTACAATGTGAGCATTTTTCTACCCTGCTGCTTGACTACATCATTGGACATTTGGAGTTAGACAAACGTCGCATTAAACTTGATGATAATCAGTATCTCCCAATTAATGCACTTGATGTCCACAACATCCTCAGCTTACCTGTTGGAATCATGGCAGTGCCTATATGTCGGCAATTTGATGTTGATTGGATATGTGAAGGTGGATATCGCAATAGGTTGCATGTAAATGCTTTGATGGAAAAGGGTAGAAAAATCCGAGCCCGGCGAAGATTTCAAAAGAGTGTTTGTTCTTTTTGCATGTGCCGCTT